TGGGTTAAATCATGCTAACATCACCATCATATATTTCTTCCCTGTTACAGTGGTGTCTACATGAGCCATGGATCTCCATTTGGAGATGTAATGAGGTAATAATGATCTCATACTCCCAAAACGGACATGCTAAAATTTGCTGCCCTCTACTGCATACAACAATACACAAATACAGTCTTCCCCTTAAAGATGAAGTTGAGTTCTGGTCATACAATTGCATTGTGAAAGAAATTGTGTGGAATCGACCAGAAAAGGTCGATCATCTAGCATATAATAATTTGTGTGTATTGCAAGGTTCTGGAATCATCAAAATGATAAGAAATTTGGCCGAGTCTTGGTAAAGTTACAAACACTATACACAGAAAGATGTATATGGGACTACACAAACACGTGGAGTAAAAATCATATAAAAATGACATATTTAGAATATAAAGGCATTTGAAGAGCCATGCTTTTCAGGGAACATGTCTTATCTGATGTTCTTCCACACCTGCATAATAAGAATGATAACGCTCACAAATTATCCTTCACCTCTTCCCAGAACTCAACCTTCTCTTTAAGCAAAAAGAGGGTAATATATAATTAGCAAGAAAAACCATTAAAAGGTGAAATGTGATTTGATGCCAAATTTCCTGAATTCATGGTTTAGCTGGTCATCAATAATGCCTACCCAAGACTAGTCAAATTATAAATCTAATGACTGAAGCCTGTAATGTAAAAATGTGGTATAGTTATTGGCATTCATAAAAATTATTAAAAAATACAAGTTGAAGAAACATCACACATGTCACATTCAGAGCTAGAGACAAGGGTCTATTCACATAAAAAGGTAGTTTCTTCTTCTTTATGGTATTTGCTAATTGCTACCCCCCCCCCCCCACTTAGTGTTATTTATAGGGTGCGCATATATATACATGTTCCCTTTTTTTAAAAGCACCCGCCATCTCTGGTGTTAAATTTATGGCGGGTAGGACTTTGTCGTGCAAAAAAGAATCCATTTGGCTTTACCAGAGATTTTGGGAACACGCATGCGGTCCCTCCAACCCCGGAGTCGGGGGGGGGGGGGGGGGGGGGGGGCTTGGGGGGAATTGTTATTGAATATCTTGTAAACAAAATCTTTACCTGAAAAGTCTAGTATATTGCATCTAAATATAATACAAATTTACATCAACATTATAAACTTAAAGCTATAACTAGACCCTATAAGTTAATCACAAAATAAAAACTAATTATTTTGTACTCCTTTTTCCTAACCAGGTAGCCTATCGTAATTTGTATTAGAATTTATGGCTATCTCTTTTGCATTGAACTTGTGCACAGCTGGTATAGTGGTACGTGGTAATACGGCGCCACGCACATGTATACATCATTACACACTGTATACAATACACACAGATCACGAGAATGGACCTTGGACCTGTTATTATCGATCACATGAACTGTGAAAATATAAATAGTCGAGGTTACGCTCCAACCACGCACATGACGTGACCCAAACCTCAAATTTCTGATAAAACAATCTAGTATGACATTTTAGATCAATGAATCCACCTACCTTTAGCGCAAATTTATCCACTAAACCCATGGTGAGAAACTCAGAAGGAGACTGCTTTGGGGTCTGGTTTTCCGCGTCTTCTGGTTGCATAGTACTGTGTGAGCTTGTACAGCGATAGTTTAAATGGATATATTATGATGATTAGGCGCAGCGCACTCGGGTCAGGTCGCAACCGCACGTCCCATTGAGTGGTGTGTAATGTAGATGGTGATGTGTACGCCGCGCCTGTTTGATACCAATGACGTCATCAAACGGCGCCTTGCTGGAAACACAACGTTGAAGCACGCAGTCAATTAAAGCACTGAGATGGGAAGTGATTTCCTATCTGCCTGGCCCTATATTCTTTATAAAAAAATACTATGTTAGTTGTCAACTAGGCCCTATAGTACGTAGCCCACTTGAATACCTAGTTACCAACTATGGAGCAACCGCTGGTCAATTTAGCTTGACACTTCTTGGTAACTAATCATTAGATGTGTGCCTTCTAGCTGGTGGAGATGACTTTCTGGATGGAATAAATGAAAAGTAAATACAATAGCTAGTCTGGATGATTAATTTACATAATTATTTGTGCAGCACTGGTAGTCTGTTGTGTTAAGTTCCAACTACATTGTTATTCACAAAACCTTTACTAAAAATCTTGCCAGCGAGTTTTATTAGACGGTAGAGAGAATTTAGTTGCCAAACTAGAAAATGGTATTCTGGGCCCATTTACATACAAACTTGCTAAGCCTAAGTGGTAACTGAAATGCTTTCTATCCGTCAATTAGAATGCACTGGCAGTCGTGGCAGATATTCATTAATCCTTAGGCCTACTATAATTTCTAGTTTGCAATTAAGCCCTCTCAGTTAGAAATCCTAGTTGGCAACAAAAAGGTCCCGGGCCAGTTGTAACTACATATAGCTATGTTAGTACGGTCAACTATACATCGAAATGGTATACATACAATCCGACTAAGGTACGTTAACAACTAAATTTCTCCCCGCAGTTAGAGACGATGTGGAGTAACTCTAAATGGTCACTATTTGGCAACTAGTTATTACAACTTACTCAACTGAATATGAACTTAATACTCATTCTGAATATGAACACACACAATACATACAGTGTGAGTAAAAAAAAAAGTTTACACCTAGAAAATTGCTAATTATTTTAAAAATCATCTATGAACAGTAAATTATTATACATCTTATGAAAGAGTGTTTTATCTTTACGCTTGGATGAACAGGAGACTTGTTTAAGAAAGTGCACAAATCGACTTGCACCAAAGTAATATATGTGATGTTTGAATAAAACAATTAAGATTTGGGTGTTTATTCGGTCTTTGCAGATCCAAATAACATCCCTAACAAAATTAATCATGCAAATACTTTAATACTTTTGCACAAGTAGAATTGCCTCCTGTTCATCCTAGCGTGAACACATAACACACCAAAATGATACCAAACAATTCGGGATAACACTCTTTCAAAACATCTTTTAAGATTTATGGCATTTTTGTGGTGTGTAAACTTTTTTTTTACTCACACGGTAAATATAATGTCGCAACACTGACAAGCTAGAAAGCTTTAAAGCAGGCCTCAAAACACATCCTTTCAATCAAATGTGTAGTCCATGACTAATTAGAGGAGCGGGCGCCTTTAAGTGTTTGGAACAATAAATGACGCCATACAAGTGATGTGGATCACCATCATCATCATAGTCTATGTTTTTATTTTATATTTCTCTATATCCGCCTTATCTTCGTTTTCATCTCTCCCTCCTCCATGTATCATCATTGTGTACCTGTCTGCTCCCTCTCTATTTATTCTCTATCATGTTTTGTTATGTTATTCTGTTCTTTATCTATTTTGTGTGTCATGATTCTGTCTTTTTCCATATTTCTCTCTTACTTATATTTCATTTCTACTCTCTCTCCAAGCTGCAGTTGTTTTTTTCTTCTTCAAATGTTCACTTTTCAGTTCACGTAAAGTTATTTCCTTTAGCCTGATTACATTTTCCCTTCTCTCTCTCTCTCTCTCTCTCTCTCTCTCTCTCTCTCTCTCACTCCCTCCATCTCTCTATCTCTCCCTCTAACTCTCTCTCCCTTTCTCTCCTCTCCCACGTCTTTCATTGTTTCATTTTCTCTATACCGTCTTGCTTCTCAAATGGTTCTATTTCTGTTCTTTCGTTTCAGCTTCTGTTTCTCTTACTCATATCTCATTTCTACCCTATAAGTCCTTGAAACTTTTCTCGTTCACAGCGCACATTAGTAGCGCACATGTTGTTATTTCTTGCAGCATTTTTATTTTTTATCTCTGACATTTCTTTCTTTGATTTTTACCTCATTTTTAACGTTTACAATTTTGCCTCTACACTGCAATCGTAGGTGAACGGGTGAAAGTTTAACTGCTGAAGTTTGTGATTGGTGTTACCAATTTGGTGAAGCATGAACTCGATATTGTCATAATTGTAAGGATGTTGTTATCTCCGTTTAATGAAAAGAAACAGTATTTCCCCATGACATTTTTAAAAATAAACATATATAATAAATCAGAATTGATATACAGCTCCACACGTATATTGCGATTTTTTAACAGTATTTCAGCGAAAGGTTTTACTACTTACGAAATAATAACAAGTACATTATCTTCAGTCTAATAAAATCGATGGAATTGGTCATAAAAAAAATTACAAATTACAAATTATTTTATTTCTCAAATATGAAGTGCCTAAATCAAGTGAAACAGAAAAAAATTGAATACATTTCGTCTTTTCACTTTGAAGTAGTACTTAGGTAATTGCTTGATTAATGAAAGACATATACATCCTTATCACCTTCTACCAACTGTAGAAGATACTTGGTTAAATGAATGCTGCAATACGATTATATATATATATATATATATATATATATATATATATTTGAATATCACATCGTGTATCTATAACGGTGTACTGATCAATAGAAATAGTTTTTTGTAAGAGCCTCGGTAGCCTCCACCTCCGTGCACTTTGCGAACTGAGAAACTGACAATTTCATAACCAATATACGCATCATGTAGTTCAGCTTAAGCTGAGTTACCCCCTAAAGAAGTGAACAATATATTGAAAGACTTAATTATTCATATTCATTTCAATTATATTTTCCATGGAACGAATTAGACATTGATATGAAACAGCTTGTCTATTTGGGGTTAAAACTTGGGGATAGCATATTAAATTTTCAGTAGCTTGTGCTTTACCCCATCAAAAGTTCATATACATGTAACCTGCGTTTGATGGTACTTAATCTTACCTTAAGTGCGATTATGAATGGCAAAATCTTTCAATAGAGAAAATTTATGATAAAAAGATTAACTGATTTATCTTTAAATTTTCTTGCTTTCACGTGCTGTTCTTTATTATGTACATGTTTTTATTCGTATATCAATGTCTGATTGTCTTTTTTTCTTTTTAAAGAACCAAGGAAGAAGGCCTTTTAAAATAAACATTTCCTGTTTATTAATTGTTGTTATTGTGATTTTTTTGCAGCAACGCTGTTATTTTACTGATTCAGACATTGTCTGGTGTTATTTTCCTGGAAATTGAGTAAGACATTAAAGATTCTTCATTTTACTGTTCGTTTTGCAACATTACAGTATTGCAAAATTAAAGATGCTTTTTCACGAATACAATAATGCATGTCATAACAGTGTTGGACAGTAGCCACAGGAGGGGCAAAACATCTTGCCTTACAGTAATGCATATACTTCAGCACGGTTGGTACTACATCTCTCCACGCCCCTAATGAACAAAAGCTGAATTTCATGGGAATCAGAACGCCTGAAGAAGCCAGTTGGAACTGGTGAAACGTCGCGGATCAATAAGTTGAATCATTCCCAGTAACCGATATAGAACTAACTATTACATTTCTATAAAGATGAATAACAATGTATAACTATTGAGTAATAAATTCATTTTTTGGAACATGGCTATGTTTTGTGCATTTGATGGGTAAGAAATCTGTCGGCAGGTGCAGATGGCCTTCCTCCTCCTCCATTTGCCCCTGTATAACGCTACGTGGTATCGTTGTGCTTTTGAAAAGCCATCAGACTGATATGATGTTAATAGCGCCCTCGTCGATTTCAGAGAGTATAGAGTCGTGTCCTAAACTATACCCAGAATCCCAGTCTGTATCCGACTCACTCGCGTCCAGTCTTGTCGCGTCGATGAAATTTAGCGAGGCGATGTCAATCTGATTATCAGCTTTATCGTGCGCCGATTCGTCGATGTTGCTTTCTCCAGAGACAACGTGACCATTGGGGGTGGATTGTTGGACGGTTGAGTCTTGATAGGGAATGTCCGCATGATGAATGACAACAGATTGGTCATCGGGGGAATACCCTCTGTTGATGCCACGCCCACTTTCACCTACCACTTGTGCAGAAGATGCTTCGGCTCCAAGCGCGGCATGGTTTTCAATCACCGCATCGAATTTCAAAACAGCTGGTGCCTCGTTGATATGATTGGAATACCCGTTACTCCTGGTAACTCGAGAGTCCTGTAGATCTTCACCAGTCAGAGAGCCGTTGTCGTCATAGTGGTCGTCATCGGAGGCCAGAGCGTCGATGGGGGTCGTCTCGAAGACGACCAGGGGATTGATGTCGGTCTCCCATTCTAGTCTGCCTTCGATGCCACTCGACGCGACTTCAGCCTGACCACGCCTTCTCGACGTCGCCGACGCGACTGTCCAGTCGCCTTTCCTCCTTGCATGCCGCCTGAACACGAGAACGCATAGGACGATGATGGCGACGAATACAAGCAATCCGATAACGAGACCGATGATGAGGAATCTGGTGTCAATGATTCGATAACTTCGCACATGCACAATTGTGGTTGTCTCTGTAGGCCTTCCTGTCGTTGGTGACGAATACTCTGTTGTACTTTCATTAATCATCGGCGTCGGAGTTAAAGAAGTATCTGTTTTATTCGTAATCACCATTGTTGAAACATTGCTAGATGTTGTTGGAAGTACCGTAGTGAGGACCTCTTTTACTTCCAGCACTACTACAGACGCAAAGGCACTGGCTACTAGCCTATCACCGTACAGTAACATGCACTGGACTATAGGCTCAGTGTAATTCATTGTTATATTCGAGAACGCAATTTGGATGTTGGTATCACTATAGCGACGGGTGGTGTATTGGATCGTATCAGTTAATGTGGGTGGAGCTATCGTCAGCATGGCCCCGTTCAGAGTGGTGGTACAAGAGTAAGTCGCAGATCCACCCGAATTAATAGTTTCCACAGCAGGCGTTAGTGATAGGTAGCTATGAACGGGGTTGGGTACGACGACGACACGGTCAAAGCACGGCGTCGACGTGGATGGACAAGAACTTGCGGGGAAGGAAACGATGTTGCATTCTAGCGTCCTCACCAGAGTTGAGTTCACCGAATGAAAGGCGAGAACGGTGACTGAGACGCTTTCGATGTTGACCAAGCTAGCCGCAGGGTCTATGTTCACCCAAGATGGCTGTCCAGTCGCGCTACTGCAAGTGATGTTTTCACCTTTCTCTACAACAGGGCCGGTGGCTGCGTTGATCATGCAATCATGCAGATAAACCTGAGATTCAACAACAAGTCTCAGGACATTCGATTCGGTTGCGTTAGTCCGACATGTATAGTTTCCCGCATCTGCTTGTGTGACTGTTTCGAATGTTAAGAGCACCGACATGCAATTACTACCTTGGGTCAATGATGTGACGGACACCTCTCGCGATTGAAGCTCTGGGGCCAGCGATGTACCGTTGTAGAGCATTTCTCCATCTCTGTAAATTTCGACTACTCCGATCCGTCCGCTGCACTGGATGGTAACATTTCCATCTTCGCAGATTTGTGGTGAGCTTGATATTATGGTGATTTCATCTTCCATGCACGTCTGGCCAGCCGTGTAACCAGATAGAGAGAGCATGAAGATTAGTATGTAGAGAACAGTGGAAATAGAGATTGTCGGTGACATCGTGATGGACTGACTTTACACTGCTAGGTATCTATACATAAAGAAACAACGAGAAATAGAAACAAACAAAGTTACCAAACTATGAAGCAGTATTTTATTCTTTTTCTTTAAAAGAAATATCATCCTCTAACAAGTATAGCAGAAATATATATTAATTATTTTAACCACTGTAACGGATCACCCTTTCTTTAATTTTGAGTCAACAGATCCGTCAACCACGAGTTACAGAAGTGTAAAAAAACACAAAAAAAACAACGACAATCGAACAACACTGAAAGATATGGGGGGAGTTTAATTTCTTCTATCATAAAGGAATTCATACAAATGTAAATTCAGATATACAGGGTGTCCATGATAAAGGAAACCCAAGTTTACGGGTAAATAACTCGATAATTTCATATTGTTCCTTGATTAATTGATATGACTGGACAGCTTATTGTCTTTTCATTCATTTGACACCAAAATCATGATCAAGAAGTCACACATGACTAACTTCGAACAGCCCGAAGCGGCAACGTCAGAAATCCAATTGTCTAAAATAAATAAATGACTGTTACGTTTGTGTCAGTATCGTTTTTAAATGATAATACATGATTTGACATGAATGGGTAAATTTCAAACATAAACATCATTGAAAAGCTCATATTCTCTTCTTTCACAGGAAACCAGGGCCCAATTTCACAAAATTTGTCAACAGTGACAAATGACAGTTATTGTTATAAACTAGTGAAATCCTTGCTTCTGATTGGTTATCACCAGATTTGTCACTGATTTTTGTCATTTGTCAATGAAAGAAAGTTTTGTAAAACGGGTTCCAGAACTATAATGGATGGATCACGCATGAGTGAGCAGGTGGCATAAATTGCAATTGGTTCCGGCACATGCCAGTTTGTTTTAGGAAATGAAATGAGGTAGAATAATAATGATAATAATAATGGTGGCTTCTTATATAACGCACATGTCCATCACGTCGTGACGCTCCTGGCTCTGCCTCGATTATTACCCTGGCTTTAGCAAGGCGGCCATTACAGTGCTTTAGCATTTCAAGGAATTAATTCCTGCCAGATACCCAATTTACAAGACCTGGGTTGAGTGTGGCAAATGTAGATCAATGTCTTGCCAAAGGACATTAGTGCCGCGGCGGGACTCGAACCGCGGACCTTGTGATTGAGAGTCCCGCGACGTATCCACTCGACCACGACACCTCTACAAAATAACAAAATAATGTCACTCTGCCCTATCTATTATAAATTGAGCCTGCTCAGTCCAAGCGTGATCTTTTCATCATGATTATGGTCCCATGTGGTAGATGGGATTATGAGTTTGTAAATGATGTTTATTTCCAATAATAAATAATTCCTTATCATTCCTTTCCCTATAGAGGCATAATGAACGAAATGTAGCAGTCATACGCTTAGTTTGGATAATCGGGTTCTGACACTTTTTTTTCTCAGACTGTCTGTATTTCGATCATGCGGTACTTCTTGATCATGGTTTTGGTGTCATATGAAAGAAGAGAAACGAATTTTTCGACGAGTTAAAAAAAAATGGGTTCCCTTTTTCAGGGACACTGTATAATGAAATGTCTCCTTTCAAAGAATTAACAAACAAAAAATTACATGTACTCATAAAACTGTATTATAATAAGTAGTAAAGTCATAATGTACACATCGTTGAATAAAAAAAGAATATAGACTATCATTCGAAAACAACCAACCCAGACAAATGCAGATCCGAGATTGTGCCAACCAGCCCCAAACTGCTGGGCACTATGTGACCAACCAGTGTTATTGCCCGACTAATTTTACCTAATCAGAAAGAAGATTCGCACGAAATTCCATATATTGTGGTTGTAAAGTACCCAACGCTATGTTAATATGACTTATGGTTTAAAATCTATCACCAGTGTTGTAAAGTAAATTGCTCCTAAAGTGGTCTAAACCTGTGGCCCTGAATTTTTTAAAACATTGCCTAGAATTGGGTAATTTATTCTTTATACAACCAACAAGTGTTCACTTTGATGCCGAAAAGAAACATGCATGATACTTTTTACAGCATTTTATTCCCTTTCTGGCAAAATGAAATCAGATGATTATTTTGTCAGACTCAGTGTATACATGAGTTGTTTGTGAAACCATTGACTGATAGAGCATTAAGAATGCTAGGACCGCCCACTATTAACCGCGTTCTAGTCTATGCCTTTTTTGAATGAAAGGTATTTTAACGTCATCGGTCGTGCAAATATGTAATTCCTATTCAAACTGAGATTATCACAATATATTCCCATTCAATTCGAGTCAATTTATTTCAAACACACAATAAAAACACAGATCATATAAAATCAGTACAGTGAAAGATTAAAAAAAACCACCATACAATCTTATTATCTGAATGGGGACAGCTGTAAAGCCAAGACAATAAAAAATGCCCCTAAAAAGAAAATGGCATAACATTAAATTTCATTACTATAAATAAAATATGAAATGCTAAATGTAGTAAAAAACTTTCTTCTAATGTTAAAAGAAACGTACATTACAAAAATTAGAGAAGCAGACTGGTGAAGGTTTGAATGAAATCGGACAAAATGAAAGACATTCATGAGTCTTTGAAGGTTGTCACTGTGACGTAGAGCCGGATAACTTTTCCATTCATTTCAAAAACAACAAAAAAACGACTAACATGTCACTTATTCAAAATGTAAGAGTCACGAGGGTCTTTTCTCAAATATTATGCTATCCATAATAATTTTACATAGAAATCCCCAAGAAAGAAAGCACTAAGGAGAAAAACAGAAATTACTGATATTTTTGTACAGTCACGACAAACGTAAAAATGTCCACGACTACGTCACAATACACTGACCGAATTGCCAATTTGAGATTTGCACATAGATCCAGGGATCTCGTTTTTCAAATAATCATAATTCCCTTATGATTTTTCCGATTTATTCCAAACTTTTGCAATCATGAGTTCTTAATTTTCTGCTTTCATACGACATTAATGAACTGATCACAAAGAAACTCCTTTTAAACTTATCTATAACTAATATCATCATGATATACATAATAGTTCAAATAATTCAATGCATTAAAAAAAATGTCATAAAGTATACAATTACATTCCTTTATATACAGTTTGATAAGTATACTGAAGAATAAACATGGAACAAAGGTACCATAAAAGACGCCCCCTGTGCAATAAGTGTTTTAATGACAAGGGTCTCATGTAAAATTAAATAATTTTCAGTTTTTATGAGAGATACCTCTTTAATTTGGCACATTTCTTCCTCTCTTAGTTGTCTTTTATTGTTTCCTCTCTCATATATATATATATGTATTCAAACAAATCATGAAAAGAAGAATAATACTGGCATAATTATGTACACCCAACTTATGCCGGATCTCATAATTTTCAAGATATTCCAGTGGTCCTTCGAAAACATTTTCCTCCCTACATTTATGGCGGTTAATATCATCCTGCTTGAAATACTGTAGACCTACAACCTGATCCACATAGTACATGTAATTCTTTTTAGATTATAGTGTATAACGAGTACAAATACCTGGTTTAAACTATACTGGCCTGTATTCCTTCCCGACACACACCACTTACATATCAATCGTGCTTGATCAAGTATCATTTAAGGTGCTTCAATACATCTTATAATCTTAAACAACACCGTCTTCTGGTGGATGATCCGATCCCATCGTGGTTGGATTACAGTACAATCTAATCCTGATGATACTTATGTTTGATTACAGTGTATGACGAGTACAGGTATATGGTGTAAACTATATATATATATATATATATATATATATATAGGCTTGAATTCCTTGAATTCCGTCCCTACACCACCACCACCACCACCACCACCACAGGCACGCACAGACTAATCGTGGTTGAACAAAATCTTTTGCCAGATACCTACGGTTTTTCGAAAACTTTTCCTACCTTAATCAATTAGTGGCTTGTGATGGATAATCTGATCCCATTCTGGATGGATAACTGTACAATCTAATCCGGATAATGTTTTTGGATTACATGAATACATGATTTAAACTATATATGCGTACATTTCTTCCCAACATACAGGCACAGACCAATCGTGGTTGATACAAATCTTTTGCCAGATACCTACGGTTTTTCGAAAACTTTTCTTATCTTGAACAAATAATGCCTTATGATGGATAATCTGATCCCATTCTGGATAGATTACTGTACAATCTAATCCGGGTAATGTGTTGGATTACATAATTAGTACAAGTACATGGTTTAAACTATATAGGCCTATATTCCTTGCCAACACACACCACAAACATAACAATCCCGCTGGAGTAGGTATCATTTACCTCCAATACATTCATCACCTTCAAATCATCGTCTTCAGGTGGATGATCTGATCCCATCCTGGATGGATCACTGTACAATCTAATACGGATAATGTGTTGGATAACATAACTATTACAATTACATGGTTTAAACTATATAGGCCTGCGCTCCTTCCCGACAAACACCACACACATAACAATCGAGCTGGGGTAGGTATCATTTACTTCTAATACACTCATTACCTTAAAAGCATCGTCTTCTGGTGGATGATCTGATCCCATTCTGGTTTGATTAAAGTATAATCTAATCCAGATGTAACGTTGGATTACACGACGACTATAAGTACATGGTTTACACTATATATATATATATATATATATATATATGCCTATATTCCTTCCTAGAATGCACACATATACCAATCCAACTGTATGAAATATTTTTTGCGTTTTTCGACTTTTCCTTAAAAAACGTCTTTCCCTGGCTAACCTGATCTCATTCTGGATGGATTACTATACAACATAATCCAGATTTGGCATTGGATTACATAGTAAATATTTAGGCCCATATTCCTTCCCGACACACACCACACACATATCAATCGAGCAGGATCATTTACGATGCTTCAAATACATTATATTACCTTTGAAAAACAGTGTCTTTTGGTGGATTATCTGATCCCATCCTGGTTGAATCACAGTCCAATCTAATCCGGATTATGCAGGTGATCTTCCATGATGATACAACGCTCATTACGAGGGCGAGACTGGCATTGATGTAACGCACCGAATCTACACGGGGACTACTGTCGCAATATTCATATCGACTAGCGTATGGCTTCTATAAGAGTACATCTTGTATCATAAAAAGTTCAACAACAAGTGAATACTACGGTTCAGCAATCACAGTCGTCGTTTCTTTACAAATGTAAAGTTTACCAATTCTCGACGACACAATGGAGTAATATGTTTGGTGTAGACTAAAGGTATTTCCCGAATACTTTAGGTCAGAGGAATCGGTTGAGTTTGCGTTAGTTTCGCAATCAAAACACGGTGTTGGTTCTGTTATGCGAGGTTAAAAGCGGGATGACTCAAATGGTAAAGCAATAAATGTTGGGGTGGTATTCTGAAAACTATTTTTGGTGCAGAGATAACATAAAAGTAAATAACTACAATAATATGTCCATTTGTATGGTGCAACTACTGCATGAAAATATTATATATTCTACAGCGCTTAATACGAAGTACCATGTTATACTACCCCAGGCTGTATTTAAGCCGCCGTGATCATGATGGTAAGAACCAAAGCATTCAATGAATTTCCTCCTAGCGATTACCCATTTACTTCACCGGGGGGGGGGGGGGGGGGGGGAGTAGCAAATATAATGCAAGTGAATGTTTATGCAATTTTGGTTTCTGTAAAAAAAAAAATGTATTTGGTGTAATCTACATTTAAAAATATTAAACAGACATGGAAAACATAAATAGAAAGTAATGAGCTAACTTTTCATGGACACCCTTACACCCTTGTGAAAAAAAATGGTATTGCGCATGAACCGATGATAACTCATACATTAAAAAAAGGCCACAGATAACACATTTCTAGGCGAAATCAAACACGAAGTGGGATTGGTAAGAAAACATTTTAACGGTGATTTTCATTGAAGAATCAATGAGAAATGGGCAGCTGTCCAGAAGAAGTCGTAGATGGCGTTAAACAGTATTTGCTATGCTACACCCCCTTTAACATGATTTTCAGAATACTGAATTAGAGGTATGTTAGGGTATTTCCACCCTTTCAGCATCGACTTTCTTGGATCCAATATACTAGTTTGCACATGCAATCTGTACATGGGCAGCTTACGTTTATTTGTAAAAAAAGTCAACATATCTGTAGATAACGAACTGGTCTACTATACATGTTCTACACAGACCGATTTAATTGTTGATGTTTAAGTGTGACTAACCCTTTCTAACCTTATATCTCGGCCATACCAATGAGACCGATACCATACTGACTACTCATCAAATTAAAATATCCCCTATTATATTAAACTCTACCCGTATTATCCAAATCTCTTTTCAAATTCATCAAAAACTCTAGCATTTGTAACACCTTTCCTCGTACTGGTAGATATACATTTGCCATGTTTCATAATTTCTAAATCCTGTTGAATATCTTTCATTGGAATGTATCTCCCGATTTGATCTGAAACTAAAGAAAGATCCATCAAATCTAAATGTGTAAAGTATATGACTACAATAACAACTTCGACCCAAATTAAACTCTATGTATCTTCGTTATCAGAATATTTATCCTTGCCCTCAGAAAATATATGGGATCTTTCGTCTTTCTCCCTATTCCTTTTTCATTTAAGAAAAGAAAAGTAGATAGGATAAATTGTTAAAATCCATCACTATAACAATAATATATTCTGAACACTTTGGAGGACAGTGACACAACAATAACAAATCATTACATTGTCTTCTAAATGGAATAACAAATAAAGGTGATATGTATGTAGTTGCAGTCCACCGAAAAAGATCCTCGAAGAAAAATAGAAGTGAACCTTATCTTGTAATACGTACTACGACAAATAAAATACAAAGACATCCACACCCAGACCAGACCAGACAACCGATAACATTATCCACAGAGGCCAACAATAAGTCAGTTTGGACTTGTTGGAGTCGGTACGAAGTCGGTTCGCCAGTGTGACTGGAGTATTAATCATACCTCGAAAACCGACTTCAAATCGACCGATTCTCAGCGATTCGGGGCAATGTAATAGTGTGTCCGGTCTGTTGTTGGTCTGGCATCTTCTGTCAGTTGAACCCCCCATGGATCTATATTTGTCTCTTTAATTTTAGAACTGATTCTCAAAAACGAGGATTTTAGTTCATCTTCTTTACTTACGAAATTCTATATATGAATTCAATATGAAAATAATGAAAGTTATACATTTTGAGCAAAGGGTTCGAGTATGAAGTGCATATGTACACGGAAAGAGGCGAATAATATGCACTCTGTGAGCATCTTATAATGCTTAATTGATGGCGATACAATGACAAATTTGGTTTATATTCTGCCACTTCTAGAGAAGTGAAGCGAGTACTCTACATCAGTAGGTCACATCATGCCACATGTAGGGCGCTAAAGAAAAGCAATGGTTGTATTCTCTGTCCCTTTCGTCTTTCTCTCTTTTTCCTGTTTTCTCTCAAATTTCTTAGTATTCGATGTGTTTGAGTGTGTGTGTGTGTGTGTGTGTGTGCGTGTGGAGGGGGGGGGGGGGGCAGGTCAACCTAGCACTGTTAATGAATTAGGCGTAATGAAATATTGATCCGCCATGTTTTTTTTCTTTCACGCAAATCTAAAACCAGGTATTTTTCAGACCCCAAAATACAGCAAAAAGGCAAGGCAATAGGACTGTATTGTTGCAATACACTGTGCAGTAATATAGTCAGACTTCTGAAGCCAAGATGGATATGAATACAAAGTCCAATTTATGAAATGTTTTCATATAATCACGCTTGATTGCTCCTCAGAATAGTACAAATAGATAACGCTACTAAAGGGTACGGGCCCATTTAGACAGTATTTCAATGTCACATGACAAAAAGTAAGTTGATGTTTAGAGAGCACGGAAATATCATAATGAGAAAAACGTTGTAGGTGTGAATTACGTTTAACATGGCGCTGTTTTCAGCAGCAGCAAAAGGAGACGTCCTGAAGTTACAATCATTAATCGACTCAGAAGACAAGTCAGAGGATTCGGGAGGAGTTGATGTTAACTGCTCGGATACAACTGGCAAGACACCCCTCCACATTGCTTCGGGAAATGGAAATTTGCAAACGATTAAATGGCTTTCCCATCATGGAGCAAATGTTAATTTGGTCGATGCTAACCCACAGACATCTGTTCACTTATGCTCAAAGAAAGGGCATCTTCATGAGTTACAGCTGCTAGTGAACGAAGGAGCAGATATTGAAATTGGTGACAAAGATGGGTTTACAGCTCTTCACATAGCATCATTCGAGGGCCATCTTGATATTGTCAAATACCTCGTTGAGAAAGGGGCACAGCTTGACAAATGTGACAAAACCGACAGGACACCCTTGTCTCGTGCTTCTCAAAAAGGCCATCTTGAAGTCGTCGAGTTTATCGTGAACGAAGGAGCAGGCATTGAAATTAGTGACACGGATGGGTTTACAGCTCTTCACAAGGCATCATTGAAGGGTCATTTTGACATTGTCAGATACCTTGTTAGTAAAGGGGTAGAGCTGGAGAGACTTGCTAATGATTACTGGACACCTCTACACCTTGCTTTAGACGGTGGCCATCTTGACATAGCAGAGTACCTTTTGGCAGAAGGAGCCAACATAAACACGTGTGGCACAGGTGGATGTACAGCTCTACATGCTGCATTAAAAACTGGTAATATTGATGGGGTGAAATTTCTAATGAGTCAAGGAGCAGAGCTGGATAGAAGCACTGACGATGGTTGGACAGCACTTAGTTTGGCTTCATTTGGGGGACATCTTGACATTGTCAAAGGTCTCGTTAACGAAGGGGTAGAGGTTGACAAATCACTCAGGAACGGGACAACACCCTTGTGTCTTGCAACAGAAGGAGGCCATCTGGGTATTGTCGAGGTCTTACTGAACGTAGGAGCAAATATTGATAACTGTAATCGAGACGGGCTAACAGCACTCCACATTGCAACGTCCAATGGACACGTTGAAATAGTTGATCATCTTGTTAGGAAAGGGGCACAGCTTGACAAATGTGACAAAAAATACAGGACACCTTTGTCTTGTGCTTCTCAAAAAGGCCATCTTGAAGTCGTCAAGTATATCGTGAACAAAGGAGCAGGCATTGAAATTGGTGATAAAGATAAGGTGACAGCTCTCCACAGAGCATCCTTTAAGGGACATCTTGAAATTGTCAAATACCTTGTTAGGAAAGGGGCACAGGTTGACAAATGTGACAAAACAGACAGGACACCCTTGTCTTGTGCTTCCGCAGAAGGCCATCTGGGAGTCGTCGAATATTTCGTGAACAAAGGAGCAGGCATTGAAATTGGTGATAAAGATGGGTTTACAGCTCTTCACAGAGCATCATTCAAGAATCATCTTGATATTGTCAAATACCTTGTTACAAAAGGGGCACAGCTTGACAAATATGACAAAACAGACAGGACACCCTTGTATTGGGCTTCTAAAGAAGGCCATCGTGAAGTCGTCGAGTATATCGTGAACAAAGTAGCAGGTATTGAAATTGGTGATAAAGATGGGATAACAGCTCTTCACATAGCATCGCTGGAGGGTCATCTCGATATTGTCAAATCCCTCGTTAGGGAAGGGGCACAGCTTGACAAATGTGACAAGAAAGGCAGGACACCCTTGTCGTGTGCTTCTCAAAAAGGCCACCTTGAAGTCGTCGAGTTTCTTGTGAACGAAGGAGCAGGCATTGAAATCTGTGATAAAGATGGGCTTACAGTTCTTCACAGAGCATCATTCAAGGGTCATCTTGATATTGTCAAATACCTCGTTAGCAAAGGGGCAGACCTGAGGAGACTTTCTAATGATAACAGGACACCTTCACGTCTTGCTTTCAATGGCGGCCATATGGGTATACACGATTTTCTTTTAGATAAAGAAGCAACAAAGATCGTTAAGCCATTCATTGGGATTGAAGAGGACCACTATGACTACCTTCGCAGTACGTTCGGTAGTAAGGCTCTCCCTAGCTTAATGCCCCGCCCATACTCCCCACCATACGATCCATCTCTTACCAGTCCACAAGACAGCTCTAGCTCCTCGAGGAAGAGTATCACAGAAGAGACAATGATTATAAGTCTGGACGAGTACAGCATCAAGGTTCCACTTTCACCAGACGATGTGGACAGAGCCAAATATATCACAGCAGAAGCATTGACAACCATTCCACCTGACTTAAACCTGAACAAAGACGAAGTCATCATCTCAGTTGGGCTTAAGCTATCCCCTCCTGGTCTTCAGTTTAAAACTCCGGTGGAAGTCACGGTCTCGCATAGCGCTATTTTCACCAACCCAGACAAAGCAGAAATTGTGCTATACACCCGAAGGACTGGTAAGATCTTCCTATTACCATAGATCCCATATCTCCATATAAATTCCTTTCCCTTCCGTTCCTTTTATTTCCCTCTCTTTGTCTAATCTTCTTTGATTCGCTCTTAGATTTATATTGAATTGAAGGCATCTCGATTTACACGAGACAAGCTTTTGCTAAAAGTTGCCTTCTTTTTTTGTATCAAAACTGTTGAGATGTGGTGGTCTCGTGGATACTTAACCGGCCTGCAGATCACATAATTCATGTTCGCGCGGCACTCAGGCAAGACATAAATATGAATTTGCCACTCTCCACCAAAGTGTTTTATGGGTACCCGGCAAAGGAACATACCACGGTACGTTCCCATTATCATGCCATATGTTATTACGTGCATTACACCGCGTCTGAACTTTGAACATATCGAGATATACGTGGATCAAGAATGCTGCACAAGACTTATATAGCTGCTTCACAAAAATAGCATAGCCGAGTGAATATAGGTTTCTTAGACTCGTCTTATATTGTAGATTATTGAAATTTCCTTTGAGCTCATTTCTCGAAGGTCTTTCTGCTCGTGTTTGAAAAGAAAATAAGCATTTTTACAGTAACTGTTTCAAATTTGATGTCCGTTATGAATAATGAGGCGCGATAGCTCAGTCGGTAGAGCAGTGGTCTCGTAATCCGGTGAAGCAAATTTCAATGATAACTTAGCGCACAGTGCAGTCTCTGTAACAGGTCCATATCTACCACTGATTATTGTCGGTAATGAAGCTTTGACCTGAACTTTCAAAGTGCAAGAGGTATCGCGACGAATTGATCCAGAGTACTTTTCTCATTGTATTCAAACATATTGGCGTCTACTGATTAAATTAAAGTGTATTCAATCAGTTAAATTAAAATGTTCTTTGGTCAGACAAACGAAAAGCGGAAGGGATAGGGAAAATATGCTGTGGCAGTGCAGAGAGCCCTTGACTGTCACGACAAACACATAGCAATTATGACAGAGATCTTCACACAAAATTAATCCTTCCTATACTATCCTTGGTATCATAATGACCTCACTTTAATGTTGATATTCCTCTCAAGATGTTCTAATTCACTGAGTTTTACTTGATAATCTTCTATCAGAATAGAAATTCGCTTAAAATAAAAATGTTTCAGTCTTTGTGTTTGAATGACTTATAAGTCGCACAGTTCATACAGCTGCCATTTTCAAGATTCTTGTGGAAAGATCGAAGGGAATTACGAGAATGATTTAATGCATAAAACATTTTTCAATAGCCAATCACCAAAAAGCAAATGACATTTTACGTCATTGATCATGATTAAACATTGACCCTCCAACAAGGCTCCCCAGTAAACCCGCAAAACTCGGTTCCCTCTTTTTTTGTTTTTTGTTGACAGAGTCTGATGAATTTTCAAGGATAGTTCCTGCTTCTGACAAAGCTGCTCGGTGTGTAGTCGCAAAGAATCACCTTACTCTGTACTTAGACCATTTCTCGGAATGGTGGATTATCTCCTTAATCAGGAGATACTTCATCGGTAAACGGCTCATCTGTACGCCATACGTTCCCCTATCAACATACAGAGACGAGTTGAACCGCATCTATCTCGTCATTAAAGACGACTTCTGCGGCATAAAAGAGGTATATTTATCATAAATTAACGGTTCGGTATAATTTTAGCTGAAAAAGAATTTGAAGTCTATTTTAATATTTATTTAATTTAAATAAATTGTATTTGTGTCCCCAGTCTTTTTGTGGTTACGATGTCAGTATTTGTGTGTAACGTTTTCTGAGTATTTAGGTGGGTACACGGAGGGGTAGGGGGGGGGGGAGAGGGGACGGGGGTGGTCACAACAAATATAAAACAAATCACATATATAATATTCAAACCCGATAAACGTTTCACATCTTGAAGTAAATATTCAGTGTAATTGAGTACCTTCACTTGCTGCAGTGCCCTCTGGAAGAGCGGCAATTTTGCAATTATTGCAACTATTATTACTATATTCTTATTACTATTATTGTCATTATTATTCTTTCAATATTGATTCATATATGTTCAACCTTTTGTAGGATACCATACGAGACTACCAGGTAGCCTTTCTTGGTGAGCAGTACTGTGTATATTGGGGAAAAGGACCCCTTTCTGTCACACATCTGGAAAACAAAGAGGAAGTGTCAAAAGAGGTAACAATCCCAACATAATTGTTACTGTTGTTTCCCCCGAAGTAAATTATCCTGACAAACAAATCGTCCGTTAACTATTCTGCAGGTCCTAATAATATATTGCTTACATTACCAAAGATATAGTCCTTTCTTAAAGCGATACCGAACTGATGAACTTTCTGCCTTAGCGTACTGTTCATTGCACAACACCATCTCATTATAATATAATTTCAGGAAACTCGATTTAAACATGGGTCATAACTCATGGTATAACTTTTAAATTACGAAAATGGTACCGTTCCCTATACTTTCGTAGGGTATTAATTGATACTTATCTCTGATTTTCGTAGGAACTTGAAGAATGTGCTTTCTTTGACATGACGACCCATCGGATGCCGTTCAATCTTCAGCCACGTGAAAAAATAGTATACAGAGTTCTCGTCACTCTCATCTTGAAGCAAAAAATCACGAAGAAGATCACCTTCCCAGTACAGTACAACGGTAATATCAAGAGCATGAATTCCTTTCGGGGGAGGTGAGGGGGGGGGGGGGGGGGAGGGGGTGGCTTAAAGACTTCCATTGGCAGTGCTGGCAGCGAAAATAGTGTTCTTGTGCAATTTCAGGAATGGTTATTTGCCTGACCTTCGGACAAGCTGTAACATATCTTCAGATTAAACCCAAACACAACACTCCAATAACATTATTTCTTTCATTTGAGATATTTTTTAATGACTTGTGTACTGAGAAAGACGTGAGTTTACACGAATTTTTTAACGCATTTTTATTGAAACTGGACAAAATGCTCCCCAAAACAAAAAATTAACTCTCTACCAGTTTTGTCGATCCTGGTACTATTTTTTCATGTGGAAAGATTCTACACCACTAGTACCAGTGAATTTCACCCCTCATCATTGGAAGTATGCTAGTGCGTTTATACTGGTTCAGCCTGTAGGTATATATATATGTTTAATGTACAATTTTTTTAGTACGTGCAATGCTAAATATTTCATTTAGGGTAGCAAAAGAACCATGGCAAGTTACTCCTATTTCGAAAAAGTATCATTTTAGGCTAATCGCTTCTCATCACTTTGAGATCATGTATTCACATTTTAGATGTCCCCGACGAGAATCCAGTTACCCAATCAACTCCGAAAGGATCTGCATCGTCCAAAGGCAAAGCTGAACCAAATGATGTTGGACGAGGAACATCCAAATGTAAGGTTAAAAGAAAATGTATTAGTACTATTTTTTCCTTTTATTTGTTTTGTTTGTTTCATACACAAATTTCGATATGCAGGGCATCGTTTTACGAAAGCGTCATGAGTACAAATGGGAAATGTGTGTAGAAAAATTAACACGCTTTTCAATGGGATACCGGCGAGCTTGTTACATGAAACAATGTCCTTATTTTCAGACGATTTGAACAAAATCGAAATAATAACATTGTAAGGATACACATAAAAGCTTTTAATCTTGCGATTTACTCTCATGATTGCGAGATGAATTGTATTTGTGCTATTCTGATTTGATTTTGATTGATTTTTGCTTTATCAGCATCTCAGCTCTCTGAAGAGCTGACAAGAAGCGAGCGTCATGATCTTGAAGCGATAGGTTCAACATCACCTGAGCCTGCAGGCACAAAGGGTAAGACTATGGCCTATCAGGAGCGGTTCTGGAGGAATACCTATGAATATCTTTTTTTTTTGGGGGGGGGGGGGCAGGAGGGAGTAGCAGGAGGCAGGCGCGGATCCAGGGGGGGGGGGGCCGAGCGGGCCTTGGCCCCCCCCCCCGCAAAAAAAAAAAAAAAAAAAAAAAAAAGAGAGAGAAGAAAGGAAAAGAAGGGAAAGAGAAAGAAGAGAGAAAGGGAAAGAAAGAAGAGGAAGAAGAAAAGAAAAGGGGGAAGAAGGAGATCGGGGAAGGCGTAAGGGCCTTGCCTCCCAGGCTGTTGACCCCCCCCCCCCCAATCAAAAAAATAAGAGAGAAGGTAGGAAAGGGAAAGAAAAAAGGAAAAGAGGAGATACTCGCGTACTGATAGGGGGGGGGGGCTTGGGGGAAATCAAATTCAAACGTGGTTTATTTCTAATTCCACAACGGGGGATTACAAATAATGCTGAAATGACATAATTTCCGAGATTTTTCCTCACTTTTTAGTAGATTCCTACATGTCAGGGCCCGAGGTACGGCGGGGATCGGGAGCCCCGAGCCCCCCCCCCCTACTTTTTTGAAAAAGTATATTAAAGAGAAATAAAACAGAATGAGAGCAAGAAAGAAAGAATAGTTAACTGCCAGTGTTGAAAAATAATGAGGCATCAAAATATGCTCATCTGACCGTGATTAATGCCTAAAACCCCTAAGCTTCCGGGGGCTCTGCCCCCTGGATTTCACCTAGGGCCCTACGGCGGGCCCTTAGATGCTCATCTGACGGTAATTTAATGCCTAAAACCCCTGATTTTTTGGGGCTCCGCCCCCTGGACCCCACGCCAAATAGTGACGTGCCAATCTCACAAAATAATAAGGTATACAAAAAAATGCTCATCTGACCTTAATTAAACGCCTAAAACCCCTGAGCTTCCGGGGCCGACTCCGCCACCTCGACCTCCCCCCCCCCCCCAGGGGCCCTAAGACGGCCCCTGATTCAGACAAGGATTAAGAGTATAGAGAACGATACAACGCATCGTCTTCTTTCTCTAATAATATAATGAAACGTCAAAGCTTCGCGCAGGAGGGGAGGGGGGGGGGGGACTGAATTCAGACAAGGATTAAGAATCGAGAACGGTACAACGAATCGTCTTCTTTCTCTCATAATCTTATGAAACGTCAAGGCTTCCGCGCTTCGCGCGGGAGGGGGGGAACCTGAATTCAGACGAGGATTCAGAGGCGAGAACGGTAATACGAATCTTTAATGATTTAATGAAACGTAAAAGCTTCCGCGCTTCGCGCGGGATGGAGGGGGAACTAAATTCCGATGAGGATTATTTTCAAGAACGGTACAACGAATCGTCTATTTTCTCTAATGATTTAATGAAAATTAAAAGCTTCCGCGCGAGAGGGGGAACCTGAATCCAGACGAGGATTAAGAGTCGAGAACTTTACAGCCAATCGTCTTCTTTCTCTCATAATCTTGTGAAACTTAAAAGCTTCCGCGCTTTGCGCGGGAGGGGGAGGGGGAGACTGAATTTAGACAAGGATTAAGAGTCGAAAACGGCGAATCGTCTTCTTTCTCTAATGATTTAATGAATCGTAAAAGCTTCCGCGCTTCGCACGGGAGGGGGGAACCTAAATTCAGACGAGGATAAAGAGTCGAGAACTCGACAACGAATCGTCTCCTTTCTCTAATAATTTAATAAATCGTAAAATTTTCCGCGCTTCGCGCGGGAGGGGGAAAACTAAATTCCGATGAGGATTATTTTCAAGAACGGTACTACGAATCGTTTTCTTTCTCTAATGATTTAATGAAAATTAAAAGCTTCCGCGCTCCGCGCGAGAGGGGGAACCTGAATCCAGACGAGGATTAAGAGTCGAGAACTGTACAGCCAATCGTCTTCTTTCTCTCATAATCTTGTGAAACTTAAAAGCTTCCGCGCTTTGCGCGGGAGGGGGAGGGGGAGACTGAATTTAGACAAGGATTAAGAGTCGAAAACGGTACAACGAATCGTCTTCTTTCTCTAATGATTTAATGAATCGTAAAAGCTTCCGCGCTTCGCACGGGAGGGGGGGAACCTAAATTCAGACGAGGATAAAGAGTCGAGAACTCGACAACGAATCGTCTTCTTTCTCTAATAATTTAATAAATCGTAAAATTTTCCGCGCTTCGCGCGGGAGGGGGAAAACTAAATTCAGACGAGAATTATTTTCGAAAACGGTACAACGAATCGTCTTTTTTCTCTAATAATTTAATGAAACGTCAAAGCTTCCGCGTTTCGCGGAGGAGGGAGGGGGAAAATCGCCCCTCCCTGCACCGACCCCCCCCCCCGCATTACGTCACTGTTGGTCACCATTACGTACCAATATTTGGCTCGCAAAATTTCAAATTTGGGCCCCCCCCCCTAAGAAATCCTGGATCCGCGCCTGGCAGGAGGTGGGGTCTTCTAGCATTATGTGCTTTTGGTGGGGGGAAGGGGGGAGGGGCATTAGAACCGCTTCTGCGGCCCATATTCATATTAGTTTTTGTTTTAGATATTATTTAATGTTCAATCAATGTATTTTTATACCGTATAACTTTTACTCTGTAAATTGAACCATTTTATCTTTTTGCTACATGTTCCATGATTTTATCTCAATCATTTCAATAACCCAACCTAATACAATATAATCCAAGGGCCGACTTGGGATAAATAACAGATGAGTCACAGTTCTTTACAGCACAGGTTGAAGTCTGGTTTTAATCATTTCTTAAAGCCTTTTTTACGTTGCTTTTTTCAGATGAAAGTAGTCCTACTGAAGTCCGTACAAGACCTAGGCCGTTGACTCCGCCATCGATAGAATCACCG